GACCCGGGAACACTGGGCACCCCGGCCCCACGGGACCCACAGGCGGCTCGGCGGCGGGGCCGGGGCGTGACAGGCAGGGAAGCGAGGGCCGGGGAGCGGCAGCGGCGCGGGAGGAAGGAAGGAAGCGTGGGGGACGCTCGCCCGGTGGGTTTGTGCGCACTGAGGGGGGAGCGCTCCCGCACCGCGCACCCTGGCAGGACCCGCACCCGAAAAGTCCTCGACAGCCAGGTGAGCCCCAGCCGGCAGCGCCCACGTCGCCGCAGGCAGAGCGAGGGGGCCGTGGCAGGGGCGCAGGCGTGGGGGTCTGCCCTATAGCCCGCCCGGGGGCACCGCCCCAGCGTGGGGGTCTGCCCTATAGCCCGCCCGGGGACACCGCCCCAGCGCGGGGGTCTGCCCTGGTGTGGGGTGCGGGGACCAGCCCCCCATGCTGCAGGACGGGGCCCACACCAATGCAACGGTGGGGCAGCCCCACGGAGGGCAGCCGCCGCGCCCCACGCCGTCCCCACTGCCGCAGGATCCCGCTACCTTTCTTGCCCTCGGAGGCCCTCAGCACGGCCAGGTAGAGGTTGTCCTCCGAGCCCGTCCTCTGCGCCAGAGACAGACCCTCCTCTTGGCTGTGCAGCCGCTGCCGGGACATGGTGGCCGCCGCTGCCCGTGCTGAGGCTGAGCACCGACACAGCTCGGCTCGCCTCCCGCTCTGCCAGCGCTGCCAGCCTGGTCCCTGCCGAAGCCTCCTCCCGCCGAGGTGTGGGTCGGCCCCAGGGAGGAGACTGGGGTTCCCCTCCCTCCCCACACCCGGGCACGGATCCTGCCCACAGGAAACCTCTCCGAGCCCACGGCTCTGCTTAACCCTTCCCTCCCCGGGAGCCGCCCGGGGCGACGGGGATGGGGCAGGGACCCCACACACCCGCCCGGGGGACCCTGCAGCGCACCCGGGGGAGCCGGCACCCCCAGCCCCATGCCCTGGGGCCTCGGGACCCCCAGCTCTGCAAACCCGGCAGCTTTGGGACCCCCAGCCCCATGCTCTGGGGCTGCAGGACCCCTGGTCCCTACACCCCGGGGCCTCAGGACCCCCAGGTTTCCAAGCCCTGGGGGTTTGAGACCCCCAGCCCCACGCCCCAGAGCTGCAGGACCCCTGGTCCCGACACCCCGGGGCCCCAGGACCCCCAGGTTTCCAAGCCCAGGAGGCTGAGGACCCTCGGGTTCACAAGCTCAGGACACCCCATCCCAGTGCTCAGGGTTCTCGGGACACCCCCATCCCCATGCTCAGGGACCGCAGCCCCCCAGTCCCCGAGTGCCCAGCTGGGACCTCCAAGAGCCCCCAGGCCCTGTCCCCAGGGGTCCTGGTACCACTCGGTTCCTGAGTCCAGGGTCCTCAGGACCCCCCAGCCCCACACCCCGGAGCCGTAGGACCCCCTGTCCCCCC